GGACTTTTCATTATGCTCTCAGAGTTTAGGGCATACGTTTATGCTCTGTAGAATCAGTGGCGTAGCAGTTACCCAATGTTAATCCGCACGGTAATATCCTGAAAGATCAAAGATGCAAACTCCCTGTGTTTGATTATATGTATGTTTTATTTCAATACTATATTTTCTTTACATTTCCTCTGCAAACTTAATTATTTAGGAGCTACAGGATGCAGAATATAGTGAAAATGTGAAGAATAAAAACGTGTTCAAATTACATTTACATTCTGAAACAAGGTTTTCCATAAGACATTTTAAAGTCAGCCGCCTTATTGAAAAATGGCAGACGTGTAAAATATGGAATTCATATTTTTAATGTCTTAAGAAAATAACTGAAGTTCCTTAAGTAATGTTTTCTCAAAATCTAATAGTTTCTGAAATACCAATTATGTAACATAGCCGCAATGGCTTTGTCATCTTATTTACAAAAAGAGAGATTGTTGTTTTCATTTTCTGACTTCTGCAGCTTCGTCCTCCCGAATGTTCTAATTGCTGTGTATGCCTTGTTATGCGACTGTCCATTGAAATGGGTTTCTTCTTCCTCTTCACACCTTCTAGTCCTGGATCTGACTAGGGTTCTGTGTGCATTCGCGTATAGAGAATTTTGTTTTTGCAATTCAATTAGGTGTCTTCAAGAAGGAATCGACACACACGTAAGTGAATTCCGGCAAGCTCTTAGGAAGGGTTTTTTTCACTCGGGTGTCAAGTGAAATGAAATGAAATGAAAATACTTTATTCCAACAAAACACAAAACACAAAAATTGTTACACAGGGTTGTACAAAACAGATGGATTATTCCCCACATAGGCACAGCCTGTGTGTGGGGAATGAGCTTCACCAGTAGTCAAACTTACATATTGATATAAAAATTAATTAATAACTAAAATTATTATTTTACATACTTTGGAAGGGAGTAAGATTGCACATTGAGCTACGGTAATACAAATTAATTTTAAAAACTGTAGGAACCACAATAGGAAATAAAAGCGAAAACAAAACTACACATACTAAACAAACCGCGTACGTATCAACTGAGACTCGGAAACCACACACACACACAGACATACACACACAGACAGACAACAGCATACACACAACACACAACACACGTCAGCTCAGTTGCTCAGTTGCACCAGGACATAGAATAGAATAGAATAGAAACGTCTTTTATTTGAAGCGGTTTTCAGTACATAAATACACTGCTTTTCAAAACAACTCAAGTCAGGTACAAAGTCTGCAATACAATAATAAAAGAGAACAAATAATTTAACTAAAACTAATTCAACCAGCCTATATTTACAAATAAAGTTTTTTTGTTTCTTGTCTGAAAGCCTTATAACTTAAATTTTTAATTCTTTCAGGTAAGGAATTGTATTCCTGAGGGCCGAAAAAAGAAAACCCCTTCTTACTACATTCAAAGTTTACACGAGGCAAATGCAGTAGGCTATCCTGTCTTGTGCACCTATCTCGTATTTCTTTTCGAGTGGTTAGTTTATCTTTGAGGTAGGAGGGTCTGTTGGTTTTGACCACTTTATGTACTATGGCAACAGTTTCAAGGACGCAAACAACCTGCACTGGTAACATTTCACTTTCCTTTCTCGTATGTGATATGTGATCAAATTTTTTTAGATCATATACAAATCTTAGAGCATTATTTTGCAAGCGGTCCAAGATATTCAAATTTTCAGCTGACAAAGAAAACCCAAAGGCAGGCAAAGCATAGTTTATTATTGGCATTACCAGGGATCTAACCATTTGTAATTTTACATTCTCAGCTAATATATGCCTAAATCTATTTAACACTCTGAGTAAAGATATGACCCTTTGTACGATTGTTTTTACTTGCTTTGAAAATTTTAATTCTGTATCAATCGTAAGCCCAAGGACTTTAACAGCCTCAGTAACCTTCAATAAATCATTTTCCAAAAGTATATTTACATTATTTCGGTGGCTTAAAAGAGTGTTTCTCAAGCAATTGCTGAAATGTATTACTGAACACTTCTCAGTATTTAACCTAAGACAATGATTTTTTGACCACTGATAAATATTTGTCAAATCAGCATTTATTGCCTGTTCTGCCTGCAAAATCTCTGAATCTTTGAATGAGAAGAGTAGCTGTGAATCGTCGGCATACGAAAAGAGAGAACAGTGGGACAATGTTTCATTCATGTCAGCAGTATACAAGATAAACAAAAGAGGCCCAAGCACACTTCCTTGAGGCACTCCACATGTTTTTGGAAGGGCTTTAGAGGTAACTCCATCCACCTTGGTTACCTGCATTCTGTTTTCAAGGTAAGATTGAAACCAATTTTGGGCTGTTTGGTCAAACTTATAATACTTTAATTTGGCTCTTAGTAGCTCGAAGTCAACAGAGTCAAAAGCTTGGGCAAAGTCTAAAGTCACCATGGCACTATTGAGCTTATTATCTTTAGCTCTGTACAGCTGATCTATAACGTTCAGCAAAGCCGATGTTGTGCTGAAGCCTCTCCTAAAGCCTGACTGGTTATCATGCAATATATTTTCAATAAAAGGCTCAAGTTGGCTAGCCACCACTTTTTCAACCAGTTTTGATAGTGCTGAAAGAATTGATATGGGCCTGAAATGAGAAATGTGTTCAGGCTGCTTTGCTTTGGGCAACGGAAATACCAAAGCTTCTTTCCAACATGACGTGACATCAGGCAACTGAGCAACTGAGCTGACGTGTGTCCGCACCTGGTACGTTTTCCAGCTGTGACGTCATCAAGATGGCGGCTAGGGCAAATTTTTTAATGCAT